CATGATGAGAAGAGCTATTTTAACCGAACATAACAACTGTCATACCCTACAACATATCTTTTTAACTCAACATAATTGTGTTACCACATGCCTGTTTGTTTTAAGAACTGAACAGAACAAACTTATGCACCCGACAATACATTGACTTGACTGAATAAAATGTAATCAGCACACAACTTTACACTTCAATAACTGAGCGCATTTGGATTTCCACCCAGTATATTGGGATTTTGACCCAGCATATTGTATCTCGGACTCAACAGAATCACATTTAACCATGTATATCAGTCATTCTACACATAAGACAGTCCAGGCGTTCCATATTTTAACCTTGAAGGTCAAGGTCATTTATGGATGAAGGTCAAGGTTAGTGTGGTCTACTGAAAGGTCTTGTCCCAAGGGTTGTTGTGGCCAAGTATGAAGACAATACACCAAGAAATGAAAAAGTTATGATCCAGGTACAAGTTTTCGGACGGCAACGGCAACGGAGACGGCAACGGCAACGGCAACGCCGACCTGACTATAACAATACCTCTACTTTTTTTTTCACAAAAAAAAAAAAAAAAGTCGAGCTAATGATACCATAAATAAACTCATGTCTAGGAGAATCATGATGATATAACAATAATGATTTCAGGAACAAATCACATCATAAAACTGTTGTTAAAGTAACCGATCATTACAGAATTATATTACCATGGTTATATTATGTCTACTGATATATTAACCCATACCATACTGCTTTGAACTTGGATCTGTAAAACTTCTCATGCATCGTTACTTAAAGTGGGGTACAATTTCAAAGCTAAAACTGAGTTAAGTAATAGACGAGTTGTTAATGCAGGCTTGCCTTGACTGGTAGACACACTTTGTATAAAGTCATACTTTTGATAAACAATTATATATATACATCTTGTTTGGTATGTAAAAAAAGCAATCAGGGAAAGCTGTCTATAATCTTTGGTTACATGAAATGACAGTATGACACAATGAGAACAGATCCATTTACAGCAAGAGAAAAGCCTTGTTGTATAACAGATTACATCTCACATGTAACATTTCAATTTGTCTTCCACTTAAATGATTCACGGATCAAACACTTGATTACCCTCACCATGTTCATACATATATATATCCCTGTGTACCATGATACTTTGTCCTATAATGTAAGTGGGTAACTTCTCACTGATACTTACAACTACAGTTACATCACATTAAATTCTAACTTAAAACCCCTTACATCTCTTGAAGAAAGGATAAAGTTTTGTTTCCTTGTTCTTTAATTTTTAACTTGGGGATCAAGTGTTTCATCAACGTTTAAGGAACAGTTTGTCATGTTACTAAGTACATGTGGGGGAGTAAAAAGGCCTCCAATGTAGCTTTTTGACATGACGGGACTGGAAATAAATTTTCATGATCCATTAGAAGTAGGTTTAAACCAATAACTTGTGTACAAAATTTCAAACCATTTCCTCATTCTGTTTTTCCAGAGTAATTATTCTAATTGTGCAAATCAGACTAAGAAGGGCACAAATAACAATTTTCATAACTTGGAATCATGTGCTCTGTTATTACCACTATATATAAATCAGATTTTAAGAAGGTTGAAAGACTCCCATCTTGTACAAATTCGGTCTGCAAAACTACACTTAGAGGTGGGGGTCACTATGAAAATGCTTGAATAGTGGTAGCCACCCAAAAAGGATAGAGTACAAGAAGTTTGGAGATGCAAAGGAATTTTATATTTGATATTGTGATATTTTTTTTTGACAAGACATATACACCAAGAGACCTCAGTAAAGAACTACTTTCACACCCAGTAATAGTGGCTCCTCTCTCTACATAATCTGTCTATGGTGTGCAGTTAATCTTGCGATAACAACATCATCAACTGCATGTTCAGAGATTAGAGTGGCCTGATAAGCCCAGCCAGGTACAGCATCTTCAACATTGAAAAAATACAGCAAGAATATTGCTCGGAGGCAGCAGCACACAGATAAATCTGTTTGTATAAGACAGCAGGAATATTGAATAAGGTGAAAAGTCTGAGAATGTTCTCTGGGATTAGACATTTATCCCCTTTATGTTGCCTTCATCTACATGAATAATGCATGATGTACAGCAACAAATCTCTATATCACACATTAGACACTGTACAAAATCTCCCCGCACATAACAACCTACAATCTATGGTAATTTCATGAATGTCTTACAACACAAATAATTCACTTAAACTAAAATAGTGTAACTAAAAATATTCACATGAACTTTTATAATTTACTTATATAGTTTTCAGAATCACAGAAATTATTCACTCTTTTTCAAGTAAATACAGTGCCCATCAAAAGTCTGGAGACACATAACATTTTACTAATTTTTGGGTAATCTTGGCAAAATCTGTCCAGCAAATGCAGTTTTATTGTTTGAAATATAATATTACCTCCATTTATTATCTTTTGGCATAAAAAATGTTAAGAAAGTCATAAGATTTCCATATTTATATGACAAACTTAGTTTTACATATTTTTAGAGAAAACAAAACATAACTAGTGTTTTCGATCACTTCAAAAACCTTTTATAATCCATAAAAAGTTTCTGTCCAAATATCAACATAACTTCCATGGTCAGTCTAGTGAATGTTTCACTACAATACAATGGTTCCATTTGAAGACAGAGTGCGCTGTAAAACCCTGAGAAGTCAAGGAGTGGCTGCTTCAGAAATTGCCAACATGCTGGGAATAGGAAGGTTGGTTACTTAAATTGATGATTTTTTACACTTGCTGAATACTTTAAAATTCTTTTGCAAGGACAATATCAGCCTTTGATGTTTCTTTTGTGGTTAACGTCAATTTCCTTCTTGTAGAGCCACTGTTCACCAGACCCTGGATCGATTTGAGGCTACTTGAAGCCACCATGATCGACCTAGATTGGGCCGCCCAAAGGTCTCTACACTAAGAGACGCTCCCCTTGTTTATCAGGCAATCTTTACAAGACAGGAGACTCATTGTTCCATTGCTCAAGAGGTCATGGAAATTGGCTGAGTTAATACTTTACATTCCACAGTTTGTCGCAGACTTTAGCAAGTTGGATTAGAGTGTCATCAAGCCATTAAGAAGCCACTACTGACCAATGATCATAGGCAGAAGCATTTGGCTTTTGCTAGAGCACATTCTGGCGTGACATGGGTGGATTGGTCCACTGTTTTGTTCACCGATGAGAGCAAGGTCAACATGTTCCAGACAATGTCCATGTGAAGCTCTTTTGGACGAATGTGTTGTGTCAGCAGTGAAATTTCAAGGTGGTTGAATCATGGTATGGGGTGCCATGAGCTTCCAGGACCTGGTATTCTGAAGGTTGTGCATGGGAACTTGAATTCCAAAGGTTACATTGACATTTTAAGCAATTGTGCCATACCATCGCCTCATCTGCTAGTGTATGGACATGAGTGCTGGTACCAAGATGATGGTGTTCCGTGCCACCGGGCAAAGGTAGTAAAAGAATGGCACTCCCAGAAGAGCATTAGGTGCTTGGAGAACTGGCCACCACATTCTCCAGACCTCAACCCTATCGAAAACGTGTGGCATGACATCAAAATGAAGCTCGGGAACAAGCATCATGGTAATCTGAGAGAACTGTCAATGATTGTGATTCCTGGTATGAGTTGACAGTAAATAGATGTAGAACATTAGTTAAGAGTATACCTAGAATAATTCAAGCCGTTTTGGCAGCTTGAGGCGGACACACTAAGCACTTACTGTGTGATCTTTTCTGTACTGCTGTTTGTTGGTTTTTGTGCTATTAGGAAAATGAGACAAAATTTGGCATTTTAGACTTTTAATCTAAGTTGTGCACAGTTTTTTGTGTTCATATGTGACATGAATGAATTATTATGTATCATTGTACATTCAGAATGAATTAAATTGGACATTTTGCAAAGAAAACTGTTTTTATTGACTTGTCTCCAGACTTTTGATGGGCACTGTAGTTCTGTATTATACAGAATAACTCAAACAATATTCACTTTTACTAAATAGTTGTACAAATAACGAATCACATAAATTATTCACTTTTAAATATACAACAATAATGCTCTAAAAAGTCAAAGCCATTCATATTAGTAGTGTTAGGTTATTCAAGAGCATTTCAATTCACTGGAAATTATCATATTAATTATATTGTTACAAGAGAGTATATCAGACGCCATTACAACATTAATTTGTGTATCTTTGATCAATATTTTGTATGACACTTACTAAAAGGTCACATACATGTACAGGCTTTTAGTAATATAGAGGGAGACCTATGGTTCTTCTCCCTACAACATCAGAACATCATCAAGAACCTGTGCAATACCACCTTATCATACCACAAACAACCAAGAAGGCTTACTTATACGAAATAACTGTTTGTCTCTTGTAGCCAGGATCTGGACTCATTGTGATATTAAAGGACATTAGTGATTCACAGCAGACTTTGTTTACACAGATTCCCATTGAACTTTGGTCAAACATTCTAAGCCAACTGTCATTATAAATTAACATACTGGTGTATACAATTGATTGCTGTGTGAAGTGCAAAGGCATTGCAAAGGTCAACAGGGTCATAGACAAGAGTCAAGGTCATTCTTACATACATATTAAATGTCAAGGTCAGCTGCTATAGTAAAGTGTCACAATCAACTGTGTCAAGTTACATGGTAAATTAAGATAGACAATTGGCAAGGTAATCAGTAAATGTCAAGGTCAACTGTTATAAATTTCAAAGCAAACTGTTACAATGTTAAAGTAAACTGTTACAGACAATGTCAAGGTCATCAGTTACAATGTCAAGTTCAACTTTTACAAACAATGTCAATGTCATTTGTTACAGATGTCAAGGTCAACTGTTACATACAATTACAAGGTCATCTATTCAATGTTAGAAGTCAACTGTTTCAAGTGTCAAAGTAAATGAAAATATATATTTTGTCAATGTCAACCTGTAGACTATAAGGAACTCACCTGTTTTCATTTGTATAATCATATCGAGGAGTGGGATCTGGGTCATGACCGTTGACATCATAACTTGCCTTTTCATCCTGAAAATATACAAATATTACAAATTATTACTATTACTAATTTAAGAATACACTAACATACAAGGAATTTTTTTGTTTGTTTTTTTAAATTTCTAATACTAATAATTATTATAGGATTTTGTGTAAAACAGTGATTGGCTTTCTAATATAAGCCAAGCTATTCTTCCTGACAGGATATATTGATCTTTAATAAGAGATAATAAATATGAATGTTTTGATTATGTAAATAATAATATTATTGTCAAATGTCAAAAAATAAAACACATCCAATTTTTTTGTCAAATCATTGATAAAATGTACACCTTTAAGTAGACTCTCAAAATTTGTTTAAAACTCTACAAATTATCAGACTATTTCGCTAATCCAGATTCATTCATATGTTTGTCCTACATCAAGTTTTGTAGTTTATTTTTGATGGCTTAAACCATAAATGATGTATCTAGATCTGGTATAGACAGCTTGCAGGGATCTTTCAAATATTTTATTACATGCTGAGAGTTTTTATGTTCAATTTTTTAAAGAAAACTCCCTGCTGCATTTTGGCACAAGATTTATATACAACTAATAACGTTTCCATCTGTACTTAAACTTGGCTCCCCATTTCATGTCCAAAATGTTCATTCTTAAAACTTTTATTACCTGTATACACTTTAATCACAAACACATTTCTTTTCCTCAGTTTATTTTACAGACATTTATTTTTCATTTACTTTTCTCTTTATACAGCTCCTAAGAATCTAACTAGTAAATTCATCAATTAAAGATTTAATCAAATTTGACACCAACAGAAATTTGATTCAAAAAGATGAGTCAAACACTAGAAAAGTAACTTCTTAACCTCAGTGAACTTAACTTAATTATGATTATTATCTGATATTACAATTTTTTTTTGTGTGGTAGAGTACCCATTACACCAACACAGTATAGGTTATGCTTTATTGGTGGAGGAAGAACTCATGTGCCCCTCCTTGCATTATTTCAGGCACAAACTCAGGCACCTGAGTAGAACCACCGACACTTAATAAGCTAGCTGAATAGTTTCCTCACATGAAATAATTCAAAGTCCCTGTCAGGATTTGAACCCACAGCATTGAGGGGCAAGTGGTTTGAAGTAAATGACCCTTGACTACTCAGCCCAGATGCCATCTGATAACAGTTAAACAACATAATATTATAAAACATCTTAGTCTAACAATTATATACTGAAAACAGTGTATGACATTTTATACTAAATTAATGTGGTGCTACAGATAAACAAAGGGCCAAATAATTGAAACAATATAAATGTGTGTTTTTATTTACATTTTTTTGTTGTTCTTGTGGGGGTGAGGGGGGGGGGCTTAAAAAAATCACAGATTAACACTGTATGATAAATAATAGATAATGTACCAGCTTATGTCAGACCTTCTGATATGTTGACCAGGCTGTGAGTTTGTTCAGGAAGTTTAAAACATAAACCATGCCATACATAACTAGCTCACAGTTACTTCACAGTCAGCTCACAGTTAGCTCACAGTTAGCTCAGTGCCTCATCCCCCACTTATGTCAAGATAAACTGATAGCTATGTTCATCAAAATGGGATTATTTTAAGATAATTTCTGAGCTAATTTAAGTTTACTGACCCTAAGCTAAATGACATAAAAATATAACTACATTAAATAGTTATACATATCAGAGCTTTAATTACCTTTATTGCTTATAGAAACACCTGGTGGAAGTGTTTCAAACTAATTCAAGGTTTAAAATATCATAAAATTATGATGAAATTATGATGAAAAAAGTGTTAATTGCTGTAAAATTCATTTTATAATATGTCTATCACACAAAATTATTAATTAAATCATTATAATTATACAGCCTCCAGGCAGTGTAAATTTACTAAGATGAGATCCGGGTGTTACTGTATTAAGGTAAGTACTAGTAATGGCCTACTGAACGATCTGTTGATTTTAAAAGGTGGGACTTAAAGATAAGTTTTCGGTTCAATTTTAAACTTCCTCTCAGTATAACATTCATCTGTGAGCATCATCTCTACAGATAATTTCTATCTATCAAATCTCTAGTCTTGAAATAGATGTTTGTGGTTACCCAATATACCACTGGGTTTTCATTCCAATGAAAGTCTTGATTTATCAGCGCGAAAAGATCAGTTCACAACAAAATAGTTTAGTACTTTTCATTATTTTAATATTTATATATCATCTGTGTTTCTCTCAAGACAACCTGTTCAAGTTTCTCAAAAGGTAAGCAAACTGACCCATTGTCAGAAAGATTGCACTTAAAGAGTATAAATTACAATTTTCGATGTGACCAGTATTTTTATAATACCTTATGTTGTAGGGAGAATTAAACCATTCACCAGTTTAATACCAGCTAAATATCAGCCATGTTTGGACTAAATAGTGAACTGTGACTGCGGACAATGATGATGATCAGACAGCAAAGGTGTACCGCCTGATCTTGGTCTGCACTGGTCACATGGGTAGAGTTGGCTCCCCCCCATCAGGCTTATAGAGTATAATCATAAACTTACAGAGCATCAGGGTAAAAGTTAAAATAATATTTTATTTTGAACTTTTATTTTTTCTCTCTCATGAACTGTTGAAAACATTATTGTTCAGTATTGGCTTCCAGATGGAATGTAAACTCATTATATTATAATATGCAATAGAATGATAAAAATTTTATAATTTACACACATCAAACAAAGGTAAGGAAGAATTTGGCGGGTAAAGAATCTGATCAATGGAAATAAAACTGATGGGGGGGAGGCAGGGTATAGAACAACTTGTATAGCTGATGTAAAACATGGAGGAATCATCTACAAGTGTATAATAGTGGTACCAGATGTTAGATCACTTTAACAGACACTGTTATAACAACAGCAAAGGTAAAAGGTGGCAACAACCTAAGTGCAGTCAATCCATTATACTGCATTTCTAATTAACTATATCAATGATTTATGAGCAGGTATGAAAACAATATGATATAAATATTTTGAGTCATCTACCAAAACTTCTTTATTCTAACATGGTTCATTTAATTATAAGACTGTAAGCTTTCGAAATGAGCAGAGTGGAAAGTACCAAACATTAACATGTCAATATTATGATATTAGATAATTGACAATTAACATAATGGACTTAATTAAGTGATTAACTATTTCATGGCTGAATTAATTGTTCAACATCCTTTAATTTTTTTTTTCCTAATTATGAGCACATTACCATGAAAGTTGACAAAATTCTTGCATTATCATTTAACATTATCTTGCATAGCTTATTTTTCACATAATATTAGCTTATTTTTCACATAATATAATGCTTTGCAATTCAACACTCAGAACTTTAATGGTCTTTAAAATTTTACAGTACATCTGAACTGTGTGATAATTTATGACACTCACAAGCACTCAAATTTATTTAGTTTTCAATAGTCTGCACTTTTCACTATTCATTCAATATGTATTTTTAACTTTTCCCTAAAAATGATGAATGTTTTTTGTGGCCAAGTCTATTTTAGTTATGTAGCTTGGAAAGGATTAACTAGCTTGCAGTATATCTAATTATGGTGTACTTTGTTTTTGTTGGGTTTTACATTGCACCAACACAGTATAGGTCATATGGTGACTTTCCAGAAAGGGTTTCATGTGCCCCTATATGTGTATTATTTCAGGCCCCTGAGCAGAACCACCAACATTCCTTAAGCTAGCTGGATAGCTTTCTCACAGGAAATTATCCAAAGACGCTTGTAAGACTTAAACCTACAGTGGTAAGAGACTTTAAATGGCAAACAATAGCAGCTTTAAATGATAGAAAATCTGTATGTTGGTCATTCACAAGCTTACATTGAGTCCCTTAAAATTTCAAAAATATTCTCACATATTTCATAAGGTTTTTTTTGCTTTTACTTTTAAGTATAAATATAACACAATGACTGTGTTCCCACACTTGAACAGAGTGTGACAGAGTGAACAGTGCAGTGTTTGTGAATCTTTGGTGTTTTTTCCTGGTTTAAAATTTCTCACATGTTTTTTTAATTTATCAAGGAGTACCATATTTACATGCTCTCAACAACCCTTGACAATATCAAGAGCAAATCTACCAAGTTTTATCCTGGTTATAAAAGTGGCTGTCATTTTCTACATCACAGTCACTTTATGAAATAACAACTACCTAGTAAATGTTAAAAATATTTTTTTCCACGCCACATTCTGTCAATCCATTATGATTATCAAAAACTTAGAAAATTTAACAAAAATAACTGGTTTTTTTTTCGTTTTTTTTTTTTAACATTGGCTACATTAATCTATTTTATATCTAAAGTTTGTATACATATATTTACACTGTACTATATACTGTAACAACTTTCTGGGTGGGCTTAATGATAAATGAATTTCATTAGTTTACAATTGAATTTACTATTAAATACACCATAACAATCAGTGTATAAATCAACAGCATAATAAAGTCAATCCTCAATGTCATAAACGATGTGAAATAATTTTATGCGAAATTTATCTTATGATAATTATTTCAGAAATAAGAAATAATCTGATTAAATGTTTGAGGTTTTCTTATTGATTGATATTTCTTGGCAGATTTTTACTTATTTATTAATGTACTTACAATATAAGTCCATACTAAAATTCTACCCAAATCACTTAACTATTAAATATACCAGCTGAATTTATGAAATGGATTTGACAAGCTTTCAATTATGGGACTGTCCATTATCAAAATTTGGGGATATCAAGATGAAAGTTCAAACAGCAAAGAACCTGATCTGTAAGACTTTTAACATTTAGACTGATCCTCACACTGATATTAGGGCTGGCCAGACCTCACACTAATGTTCAGGCTGGCCAGACTTCACACTGATGTTCAGGCTGACCTGGCCTCACACTGATGTTCAGGCTGGCCAGACTTCACACTGATGTTCAGGCTGGTCTGACTTATCACACTGATGTTCAGGCTGGCCTGACTTCACACTGATGTTCAGGCTGGCCTGACTTCATGCTGATGTTCAGACTGGCCTGACTTCACGCTGATGTTCAGACTGGCCTGACTTCACGCTGATGTTCAGGCTGGCCTGACTTTACAATGATGTTCAGGCTGGCCTGACTTCATGGTGATGTTCAGGCTGGCCTGACTTCACACTGATGTTCAGGCTGGCCAGACTTTACAATGATGTTAAGGCTGGCCTGACTTCACACTGATGTTCAGGTTGGCCTGACTTCATGCTGATGTTCAGGCTGGCCTAACTTCACGCTGTATTCAGGCTGGCCAGACTTTCACAATGATTTCAGGCTGGCCAGACTTTACAATGATGTTCAGGCTGGCCAGACTTTACAATGATGTTCAGGCTGGACCTAGACTTTACAAGGATGTTCAGGCTGGCCTTACTTTACGCTGATGTTCAGGCTGGCCAGACTTTACAATGATGTTCAGGCTGGCCAGACTTTACAATGATGTTCAGGCTGGCCAGATTTTACAATGATGTTCAGGCTGGCCAGATTTTACAATGATGTTCAGGCTGGCTAGACTTTACAAGGATGTTCAGGTTGGCTAGACTTACTTCACGCTGATGTTCAGGCTGGCCAGACTTTACAATGATGTTCAGGCTGGCCAGACTTTACAATGATGTTCAGGCTGGCCAGATTTTACAATGATGTTCAGGCTGGCCAGACTTTACAATGATGTTCAGGCTGGTCAGACTTTACAATGATGTTCAGGCTGGCCAGACTTTACAATGATGTTCAGGCTGGCCAGACTTTACAATGATGTTCAGGCTGGTCAGACTTTACAATGATGTTCAGGCTGGCAGACTTTACAATGATGTTCAGGCTGGCTAGACTTTACAACTGATGTTCAGGCTGGCCAGACTTTACAATGATGTTCAGGTTGGCCTGACTTTACAATGATGTTCAGGCTGGTCAGACTTTACACTGATGTTCAGGCTGGCCAGACTTTACAATGATGTTCAGGCTGGCCAGACTTCACACTGATGTTCAGGCTGGCTAGACTTTACAATGATGTTCAGGCTGGTCAGACTTTACACTGATGTTCAGGCTGGCCAGACTTTACAATGATGTTCAGGCTGGCCAGACTTCACACTGATGTTCAGGCTTGCCTGACTTTACACTGAGGTTCAGACTGACCAGACTTCACACTGATGTTCAGGTTGGCCAAACTCTATACTGATGTTCATGCTGGCCTGGCTCTATACTGGTGGTAAATGCTAATCATTTTTTGTATCTGGTGAGCTAGATAAAGTCTCATATTTGATTTAACCATTCCAAATTTGAAAACAAAAAAGATATTAAACTCATAATGCACTTTTATAGACTTGTTAATTTCTAAATTTAAATTTTCAATTTATTTTGAAGAAAATAAAAATGTAATTGAAATAGGGAAAGTGCTTGTTTGCAAATTTTCTCAATTATCTATTTGGACTTTTTTTGTATTTTGATTTTACAACTTCATTGCACAACACCACTTAATGCATGCAAAACCAAATAAATGCTGACAAAAAATTCTGTAGCTTTACAATCAATCCACGGAAATCTCTCCGACATCACAAAAAGACATGTTGACTGCCTGGAATTCAGCGTTTACACCTTCACAAATAGCTTCTCTCTCCCTTCAGACTATAGATAAGCTACAGGGATTTTCATCTCTTCAAACTTTCAGGCATAGTTCCAATATTTTGATAACGCGTTACAACATCATTTTATGTCATTAGCATGTTTCGATTTTTTTTTCCTTGCGTGCATGATTTACACATTTAGTATTCAAGTTTGGCGCGATGCCTTTGATTAATATGTTAAGTGGTGGCAAAAAGTTTACAAATTGCTGGAGGAAGATTTCGGAGAGGTATCGCAACAAGTTATAGCGTTGTCATTATAACACTTTTAATGCACGTCTCTCTAATAGCAGGACAAGCTGTTACAACAGCCAGAACAATTTCACAGTGCTCTCACTTCCATATCTACCAAAGTCTACTACAAATCCGATAGCAAAAAAAAACAAAACAAAAAAACACCCCACAAAAAAAACACTTTAAACATGATAAATAATAAATGAAATATAAAATTTTTGAGAATTAGTTTCAATTCCTACAAAAGAACAGCTTATGTCTTATTCTAGAAAACAATTTGTTTAAAAACCATAAAGCAAATTAATTTGCTCTTTTTCATTTTCTTTTAACTGTTAAGTACATTCCTGTCAAGAAAAATGCTGATCCCATAAATTTCAATTCAATTTTGAATCCTTGGAAATTTGGTATTGTAAATATACACTTTAATCTTTGAAGAATAATTTTTTGTGTCTGTATCTCACCAATTCCATAGTTAAATTTTGAATTTAAACAACTTGGCATTCACATTCAAAATCAAATTATTAACAAAACAATATGGCAATATGGGTTCAAACCCCATGGGGGGCAAGTTGTTGTTTCCTTTAGCAAGAAACTTGACACTCATTGCTCAGTACTGGTTGGTTCCAGGAACAGATTCAAAAGTGTGTCTATAAGCTTTATATATAGTTTTCTACACAATCCGAACTAAACTAAATTCTGCACAAACTAACAAAACAATATAGAACATACGTAGTTCCTCTTTAGATCAGGGTGCTCGGACTCTATACCATCATCTAGAATTGTGACTGCCACTCCCTTACCAGTCACACCCATTGCCCACGCCTTCTGTACATTCATGTCCAGGCCTTGACCACGATTCTGCAAATATATAGAAAATACAAATATATTTATGCTGAAAACAATCAATAAATCTCAAAGAATTCGATTAACATTCCACGAATATTACCTACTGTTTTATTTTAACAACATAAAATAGAATAAAAATACCTGCAATAACCAAATTTTTTTATATGTAACAGATGAAACATTTTTTATTTACTTACATAATAATAGTAACATACCACACAATTTCTGATATATATACAAATAGAGCTCTCTCACTAAGCAATTCTTTGATAATGGGCACAAATTTCATTGTATCAGAAAATAATAAACATTTTATTTTTCTTTAATAATTACAAAACAGTCAAGAAGTAAAGATACAAAATGGCGCAGCTTGTTAACTATATTGAGAAATGATATACAACGAGAGTTTGGAATAGCTTGTTACCTATATTGAGAAATGGTGTACAAGATTGTATGAGCTTGATAAATACATTGAGAAATTGTGTACAAGGAGTTTGTAGGAGCTTGCTAACTAGAATAAGGACAGACTGTATGAGCTTGTTAACTACATTGAGAAATGGTGTACATAGACAATTTGTAGGAGCTTGTTAACTACAGAGTGAAATGGTGAACAAGGCCAGATTGTATGAGCTTGTTAACTACATTGAGAAATGGTTTACAATATTGTAGGAGCTAGATAACTACAGTGAGAAATTGTCTATTAGGATAGATTTTTTGGAGCTTGTTAACTACATTAAGAAATGTTGTACAAGATTGTAGGAGCTTGATAACTACATAAAGAAATTGTGTACAAGGATAGGTTTTTGAAGCTTGTTAACTATATTGAGAAATGGTGTACAAGGATAGATTATATATGAGCTTGTTTAATACATTGAGAAATGGTGAACAAGATTGTACGAGCTTGATGACTACATTGAGAAATTGTGTATTAGGCTTGTTAACTACATTGAGATATGGTGTTCATGGACAGTTTGTAATAGCTTGTTAAATACATTGTGAAATGGTGTACAAGGACAGTTTGTAATAGCTTGTTAACTACATTTAGAAACGGTGTACAAGGACAGATTGTAGGAGCTTGTTAACTACATTGAGAAATGGTGTACAAGGATAAATTGTAGGAGCTTGTTAACTACATTTAGAAATGGTGTACAAGGACAGATTGTAGGAGCTTGTTAACTACATTTAGAAATGGTGTACAAGGATAAATTGTAGGAGCTTGTTAACTACATTGTGAGAAATGAAGTACAAGGACAGATTGTAGGAGCTTGTTAAATACATTGAGAAATGGTGTACAACGACAGATTGTTGGAGCTTGTTAAATACATTGTGAGAAATGAAGTACAAGGACAAATTGTAGCAAGATCTGCATCTATCATTTCTCTTCTTATGTAACTCATTTGTCATCTCATATCTTTTGTAATCTATCATTCCAAACCAGGTTTCCTCACTTCTACAGCTACAGCTATGATATATGCTATAAACTTTCAGAACAGCACAGAGTACTTATACACATCACAGCTTTTAAATCAAAGTGGAAATAATTATCCTGATATTCCACCATAAATAATTTCAGTAATACAATAGGATGATTCTCTTGTGTTATTATTTCTTATAAATTACATGGTACAATAAACTATTAGAAGAAGAGAGATTGTTATTTTACATTCATTGGGTCATTCATCTTTAAAAGAAGAAGCCAGGGGCACATTATGTGGTTCTCTTAACAAAACAGGCAGAACACAAGCATTAAATATATTTTATTGCTGACAGGACAATCTTGTTACAGAAATTGACTGGAAACCATCATACTATAAAATGCTGTAATCATAACAATTGATGAGGTTGTTCTTTTTATCATACTATACTGATTGACACGATGATGATGGACTCGCGGTTCATGACTTAGTTCTGATCAATACAAAATGTGTCCAAAGAAAGTGAAAGTGTTAAGCTGATATTAAATTTACTTCACACGAGATTTATCATTCTTTGACACCACCAACTTAATGGAAATCAATACACTTAACACTACTCTACTTTTCTATATAGTTTTTTTTTTTTTTTTTTTTGGTTCAGACTGGCCACAATTTCTGTTAATTTATAAATAAAGAAGAGCACATACAAATAATTGTCTCCTGTATATTGCTCGTAAACTATTTCCTCCATGTAATGTTTCACTTTTACTCTCAGCATGAAATTTGCAGGGCAAAATATTTTCTGAGATATGGAATTCGAATTTTTGTAGGAAAAACAATCAATTACATTTGAGCTGATCTGATGACAAAACCTGGCCAATCATGAGAGATGAAGAATTTCTATAAATTACAAGCTTCAAAGAATAACTGGTTTAATCAAAATTAAGTACCCTGCTTAAATTGAGTTACAGACTTGCACATGTAATTAGTATTATCATTCATGGGACTTCAGAATCAGAATGCTGAATTGGGCAGCAAACTGTGCAATTAAAGTCCGGTCAGACTAAATTATTGAGTCTGGTCAGGCTACTATATTGAGTCTGGTCAGACTACAGTATCGAGTCAGGTCAGACTAAAGTATCAAGTCTGGTTAGACTAAAGTATTGAGTATGGTCAGACTAAAGTATCAAGTATGGTCAGACTAAAGTATTGAGTATGGTCAGAGTAAAGTATTGAGTCTGGTCAGACTAAAGTATTGAGTTTGGTCAGAGTAAAGTATAGAGTCTGGTCAGACTACTGTATTGAGTTAGGTAGGACTGAAGTATTGAGTCTGGTCAGACTAAAGTATTAGGTTTCTAAGGTTTGCTACAATTTAACAGAGGCTTAAATATGTGTACTATTTTGACTAATATCTTTTTTGTTAATATTTAACTGGACTGAGAGAGAAAACTGTCACATCAATGTTAAAAATGTTACTAAAAAAACTTTCTGATGTCAGCAGATTTATTCCAGCAGTAATCCTACGTCTTATAAACAAGGCTGGTGTTATTTGTGTTTCATGATTATTTAATAAGTACAATTTGGCAACGATGCCGCGGGTCCAGACACACCAACGGATGCTGCCTATTATCATTTATTACGTTATTACATATTTTATAACACAGAAATTATATAAATTAGGATCATAACAGGAAACTGTCAATCTTTATAACAGCCTCATCAACCCATCGTCAACATTTTACAACAGAATTGTTATCATCTTGTTACCATTTAATTCAAAACATATAGTGCCAGATCCATCAGTATATCTTAGTAAACTTTGTATACTAAAGGTGATTTTATGTCGACCATATAGTACAAATAAACATAAATATAAATTCATTTTTGATGTAATTTTTATATTTCACATTGTTATCTGATGTGTGCGGTTTTCTGACATACTATATCAGTCACTTTTTAGACATATCATTGTTCTTAAAAAACTTTAAAAGACAATTAAGGTTTTTTTGGGTGTTTTTTTAAGGTTATTGACCACCCAAACAATATGACAGGACAAAAGAATAAAATTGACTGAAAATAATGAGTAAATGTCTTTAACAGAAACTAAATGCATGAGGGACAAAGATTTATATGAGAAACTAAATAATTATTGACTGAATCCTGCATAGAGACATGAAGGAATAAAAGACAAAAACTTGCATTTTTGTGGAACTTTCACGAGGGATACAATCTTATTATATAAGGGATAGAAACTTGGATGAGGGATACAATCTTGCATGATATAAAAGCTAAGGCAAAATGATGACATTGTTTCTGCTGAATGAGTATAATAGAGAACAATCCTTTTCCTCATAATTATGTCCTCAGCTTTGTAATTAGACCTGTCCATCATTAATTAAAGGGACCTAAGAATAATAAACGGCAATCTGTACAGATAACCTATAATTCTGTGATGGCAATTGGGTCTATCATTATAATGGCCTGTTATCATACACATTAATTAGCCTCTGAGATTGGTATCATAATTAAAGGATTCTGTTGAATAAATATACCTTTTAATATATATAGTAATTTTGATATCTACCATAGTTAAAATATATATAAACTTTTATAAGTTAGAACAACAATGAATATATATAATTTGTATTTTTTTTAATTTCAACAAATAACATGAACCTTACTGTATAGGAACTTGAAATTCTGTCAATAATAGCAGTAAAGTCTGATTTTTTACATAGGTATAGATATTTTCTAATCAGACTTTACTGCTTAATTATTGACAGAATTTCAAGTTCCAGTGCGATAATATTAGAAAATTTCATTAAATACCTTAAAAATTCCATAACATCTAAAACATTAATCACAGAAGTGATCAATGTCAAAAAAAGTTAGTTTTGTTGGAAGAAAATTATAGTAGAGTCAAGCCTGAAATCTGCAATGGGACACCAATTTTTAATCATAGATGATAAACCGGGCCCACCTGCATCAGTGACAAGGTTTGTCCTATCTATAAAGCTGCAGTAAAATATATAGAGGTAAGTGTGACGTATATTAAGTGATACTGTAGGTAGTGTATCAATCTTGTCAGCCGCATGACTGCTTAATATGTATGACAAATCCAATCTTACTTATACTCATCACATATGTGTGTCAAATACAAACTATATAAATATGGGTGGTCACACTTACATTAATGTCAGAAATGAATAAACATACTGACTTTAATATCTACATCAACTTTTCATCTTTTATTAATAACCAAATATCTGAAATTATCAAAAAAAAAAGATGTTTTTTTTCCCAAGCAAAACTGTTAATTTTACTGCTGTCCTTGTGTGTTTTTAGGAATTTCACTAATAAAATTCTATACATTTCAACTTGGTCATTATCCAAAAATCAAAATATCATTTGTTACATGTGTTGTTTAACATTCAAACATGACAATTGAAGTATAGCAGAGACATTTTAATGTTTCTGATGGAATAAGAATATCCTTCAGACAAAAGATATCTAAATTGTTTACCGTCACAAGCAAAAATAAAACTAATATAAAATTCCACCCCTATATTTAAACACAAAATACATTAAGATTAAACATTTTGAATGAAAAAAACAAAATTAGGAACAAGATTATTTTTATCTCTCAAATGTTTATATATATTTATAGAAAGAATAAATTCACTGTGGCAGTTACAGCAAACAAGAAAGAAGCTCAAGAGTTTATAATTGCTGCTGCCATGCTCCTGTCTGACAGCAGTGAACCCTTCAACACTAAATACATTATTTACCTCAAACCTATTAAATTTTAACTTATTTTATCTGGAAGCGAGGCCAGACTCCCCACTTGATGTACTCAATTTGCTGTTATTTATTTATTTACTTCGTGCCTTCAATCAAGTGTCAGTCAGTAAAACTGGGTGGTCATATTTGGACACATAAACATCACTAATTGGTTGTTTGTTTACTTCAAAGTTTGTGTTTTTGCTTTAAAAAAAAATCTGAAAAATAATTTGCTTCTATTGATCTAAATGCTTAAAAGTGGTAAATACGTTATACATTCTAAAATCGATAGAGGATATTCAAGTTTTTTCTATAAATACATGATTTATTTTCATCGAGTGGTATGAAAATAAATATTTCATGAGTGGCGGTAGCCACGAGTGAAATATGGTAATTTTCATGCCACAAGATGAAAATAAATCATGTATTTATAGAAAAAACTTGAATTTTCTGTTTATTATGTACATTTTTCTCTTTTTTGCGATAAAATTTGAAAAACTTTCCCTTAAATTTTGTGTACTGGTAGAATTTAAAAGAAAGTAGTCCGGCAAGACACCAGTGAAAATACGGAAAATATGTTTCACTGCAGTGAAAAATAAATTTTTACAGTGAAAATATGGAAAATGAAAAAACGCATTTTATTTCATCAATATTTCTCAATATTTCATTTATAAGTATATAATAAATGTGGGTTCTTTTTTTTTTCTTTTTTATTTTCTAAAAAAGGATGTGGTTTTTTTTGTTGTTGTTTTTTTGTTGTTGTTTTTGACATTTTTTTTTATATAAAATGACAAACAATTACTGTAAACTGCTCTTTGTTTTACCTACTTGTCTCCATCAAATCTGTTGATATCAAATTTGCCTGTCTCAATTGTTACTGATATCAAAATTAATACACTAACTGCTGATATGAAACTAGCTCGTCTACATCAAAACCTGCTGATGTTTTTTATATAAAAATACTTGTGCTATATATTGAAATATAGCTGTTGACATTAAAGCAACAAATTACATTAAATGCTGCTAATATCAAAGTGTAATATTTTGATATCATAGTGGAATGTAATATTTTGATATCAAAGAAAAGTGTAATATTTTGATATCAAAGAGGAGTATTATATTTTGATATCAAAGTGGAGTGTAATATTTTGATATCAAAGAGTAATGTAATATTTTGATATAAAAAAGGAATGTAATATTTCGATATCAAAGAGTAATGTAATGTTTTGATATCAAAGTGGAGTGTAATATTTTGATATCAAAGAGGACTGTAATATTTTGATATCAAAAAGGAGTGTAATTATTTTGATATCAAAGAGGAGTGTAATATTTTGACATTTAAGAGAACTGCAATATTTTGATATCAAAAAGGAATGTAATATTTTGATATCAAAGAGTAATGTAATGTTTTGATATCAAAGAGGAATGTAATATATTGATATCAAAGAGTAATATGATCTTTTGCTATCAAAGAAGAATGTAACATTTTGATATCAAAGTGGAGTTTAATATTTTGAGATCAAAGTGGAGTGTAATATTCTGATATCAGACAGGAATGTAATATTTTGATAGCATAAAAAACTGCTGATATATCATAGTGATGCATGTGTTACAATACTTTTACATATATACCATGTAAGAATATGTTTTATTTCCTGGAATTCAATAGGAACTCATTATTCTATGAATGCATCATCTAACAGGTCAGATATGGCATAATCAATTACATTATTGTATAAACAGATTCTAAACTATCATAAATGCTAATTCCCAGGGCATAATATTTTCTCATATTGAACACACTGGGCAGACATTTTGAAACAGTGCCAAAGGTTAACTATTATACCCTGGCCAATCACATAATGACTTTAAAATGATACAATTCATATCAATTTAGCAGTGGAAACTTAAATCTAGAGAACAGCCATCATTATGTTAATAGATTGAAAAATAAACATGGGAAACCCAGCTTACACAAATATCATGTGACACTACAAGTATATCAACCTCATGTTTTATTGGTGCAAGTTTGCAACCTGAATAATGTTACATAATATATACAAAACATCAAAGTATTCCAGTAGCTTGAGGGCCATCACTCTGTCAATAAATAATACATTGTTTACGTTTTTAGATTACTGATCAATGATTTAACTAATCAAACTAACATCTTTATAAACTGTCCTTTTGTTTTGATTTTTTGCTTTGTTGGTGTTTTTATTTTAGTTAAAATGAAATCAGGTTATTTTGTTTCATTTTAAGATGCTGAATAATAATCTCACTGAATATGAACAAAATTAGTTAAGAGTGTCACATGATCAAAATAGTGCGTATGCATATAAACCATTTTTTATGGACTACTTTTATTTTTCAGCGTCCTGATGCCTTTTCTGAATATAGTATGAAGAAAGCACTAGATGAAAGTAAATGTAGGGGAGTATCATAGAATGTGTTATGCTTGCTAAAAACACTGGTTATCACTATCAGCAAAAATTCAGCATGGAAACAAGCAAATTGTGTCCACGATACAATATATTTACAAGCAATACAAAGGTCCATGTCCAGGACAAGTCAAATGTAGACTAGAAGAACACTTTCAGCATTATTATACATGTAATCAATTTTAAACAAAGTAACTTACCAAGTACCATTGGCTGGGCCATTTCTGATCATTGAATTCCTGGTATGGTATGAATCGTTTAACTCTTTTCTTTGCTACCTGTTGTTCCAGCCATTTTACCTGAAAATTAAACAAACAAACACATAATTAATTTGATATTACAGCATTACTTGTGAAGGGGTTTAGTCATATTGTAACATTACCACATTATGTGTGGAGGGGTTTAGTTATATTGTGACATTACCACATTATGTGTGGAGGGGTTTAGTCATATTGTGACATTACCACATTATGTGTGGAGGGGTTTAGTTATATTGTGACATTACCACATTATGTGTGGAGGGGTTTAGTTATATTGTGACATTACCACATTATGTGTGTGGAGGGGTTTAGTTATATTGTGACATTACCACATTATGTGTGTGGAGGGGTTTAGTCATTTTGTGACATTACCACATTATGTGTGTGGAGGGTTTAAGTCATAATGTGACATTCCCACATTAAATGTGGAGGGAGTAGTTATAATGTGACATTACCACATTATGTGTGTGGAGGGTTAAGTCATAATGTGATATTCCCACATTAAATGTGGAGGGAGTAGTTGTTATGTGACATTACCACATTATGTGTGTGGAGGGTTTAACTCATAATGTGACATTCCCACATTAAATGTGGAGGGAGTAGTTGTTATGTGACATTACCACATTATGTGTGTGGAGGGTTTAAGTCATAATGTGACATTCCCACATTAAATGTGGAGGGAGTAGTTGTTATGTGACATTACCACATTATGTGTGTGGAGGGTTTAAGTCATAATGTGACATTCCCACATTAAATGTGGAGGGAGTAGTTATTATGTGACATTACCACATTATGTGTGTGGAGGGTTAAGTCATAATGTGACATTCCCACATTAAATGTGGAGGGAGTAGTTATTATGTGACATTACCACATTATGTGTGTGGAGGGTTAAGTCAATAATGTGACATTCCCACATTAATGTGGAGGGAGTTTAGTTATATGTGACATTACCACATTCTGTGTGGAGAGGTTAGTCATAATGTGACATTACCACATTGAATGTGGAGGGGAGTAGTTATATTATGACATTACCACATTATGTGTGTGGAGGGGTTTAGTTAATGTGACATTACCACATTAAATGTGTGTGGAGGGGGTTGTTATGTGACATTACCACATTATGTGTGTGGAGGGGTTTAATAAGTCATATTATGACATTACCACATTATGTGTGTGGATGGGTTTAGATATATTATGACATTATCACATTATGTGTGGAGGGGTTTAGTTATATTGTGACATTACCACATTATGTGTGTGGAGGGTTAAGTCATAATGTGAAATTACCACATTATGTGTGTGGAGGGGTTTAGTCATAATGTGATATTCCCACATTAAATGTGGAGGGAGTAGACTAACTGTTGTAATGTGACATTACCACATTATGTGTAGATGGGGCGGGGGTAGTCATTATGACTGTGACATTATTTATACCAGTTAGCTTTGAGGTTTTTGTCATATTGTGACATTACAAAAGAACCAATAACAAGTTCTTTAGGGTTTAAGTTAGCTGTGAATTTGCACACAAAACCATAACCAAGTTAAAAAAATGACACTGATGAAAGTGTTGAGTACTATTTTTAAAGAGTCATGTTTTATCATGCAGAGTTCAACATCAAACATATTTTACAACAGTTACCTTGAACTAGTTATACATTTTTCATAGATGCTCCAGGATGCTAAATACAAATCATCAAACATCGTTACAGTTTTCATTCATTTCACTAATTCAGACTGCGGTTTTCTTTAATCCTACCCTGAATTATGATACATTAAACGAAGCTCTGTGAGAGATTAACCAACATTTAGTAGTTGGCTTGGCAACAAAGTCAGCACTAAATACTCTTCATATCTTCAAAGTAAACATTTAGAATTAGACACAACAGAAGTGGATTATATTCACATTACACTATGTATCTTATAATCTTTATAATCATACCTGACTAACTAAATCATAAAACAAAATAATAAACAAGTCCTCATTCTAACTTAATGTAAAACTGAATTTTGATTTAATTATTGATGCAAAACTACCATCATAAATTTCATTTTCCAGCAATCATGAAGCACCAATTATTATCTGTCTGTCAAAGTTAGTGAACTGGTTCTACTAGAATACATATACTGGCAAAATACAAGTCTAAAGGTGCCCCTATATGTCAGTGTGTTACTTAACATAGACAATGAGGGTACATCAAATTATTATTACCATCTCACATATTTTTTTTACATTCTCATATCATATGAAAGAACTGACTATAGGGTTCAAACCAACATTCGGACATTGGTGAGGAAAGCTAGATTTGTTATCAGCTAACTTAAGCACATGGCCAAGATGTTCTCTCATTTTTTGTTGTTTTTTTTATTATTTTTTGTTTACTTCTTTTCATTTTCACATATTGTTCATAAATATATGTACAGATTTTTTGGCATCAATTATGGCATCAAATTACCAACAAAATCAACATAACCTGATAGAAAAAGCTGATGCCAGTTTCATCAGTAAATACAATAAAAACATCACATTCTGTAGATGTAAAAAAAACTTGGGAGCTAATTATTTCCTCACAAATCATGGTATCACACAAACCTTTTAACTGATTGTTTCTATCACAACGAAACAATGTAACCTATCCTGAACAATCAGTGAAGACAAGAGCCATATTGCCCTGCACTATGAGGTATATCACTTGATATTAACCTACCAAACACTTACACTTAAATGCTACAATTAATATAAACACAAGGTGCATTCCATGTTGTTTTTTATCAAGGAATTCTTCTTTCTATATACTAATGTCAGTGAAAATGTATTTTAATGATTTTTGGCTAGAACATGAAAATGCATAGCAACTAGACAGTGTACCAGTAAACAAAGATTGCAGGGTTATTAAGAAGAATATTTTTAGAATTCAATTCCTTAAATTAGTTTTTATTATCAGAAATGCATTTTACATTCACCGAGTTACTGAAAGTAAAAGATAAACAAATGTAGATTATGATTTCAACCTCTAATTTTCTATATCATTGAAATTCCTTCTCAAAGAAATATCTGAAAACCTTGGAAAAATTCCGGAATTTATACTAACAGGTTGGATTATTTAACCATGTTGTCACCTTATAGAATTACAACATGAAAATAAAAGGAATTCTGTATCAAACATAACCCTTATAACACACTAAACATCTTAAATGGACTTGTCCATAATTCAATCTGAACAAAATCTTTTACTTTTTACTGACTTAAATATTAAGCAAACAGTGCCGACCATAATCAGATGGAATGGATGTGCTGGCTGATTTTTGCCTGCACTGGTTACATGGATAGAAGAAGGCCAAAGGTTTTAAATATGTTCAACCCATGGCAACCTTTCTTCAACAGACTTAATGCAGTATTAAACAAGCAATACATTTTTGCAACAGAATGTTTATATTTAAAAGTGTTCATAAAATATCAGAAAAGATAATTCAGGAACAAAAGCAAATATCAGAGCATTTAAATCCACATGCATACCTCAGAAACAAATGCAAATATCAACATTGTAATTCAAATCCAAAAATATCAAAAAAGATCATTTAGGTACAATCACAAATATAAGATTTAAATCAACAAATATCAGGAAAGATAATTCAGGAACAAAAGCAAATATCAGAACATTTATCTACACAAATATCAGAAAAGATAATTTAGGAATGTTCTCAAATTTGAAATATGGGGTATGTTCACAAATATCAGAAAAGATAAAGCAGAAATGAACACAAATATCAGAAATGGTCAAAACAGGAATGTATGCAAATATCAGAAAAAAGAAAATTCAGTAATGAACAGTTGAACACAAATATCAAGATGAAAGAAAATTCAGAAAAACCCTATATTCACACAAAATTCAAGCACCAGACTTAGTTAAAAAAAAAATTAAAAGGGGTGTACTGTAGCTCACCTACTACACAAAATTAAGAGATAAATCTTTATAATAATCCACATCAAAGGCAAAGATGAGGTCATGACTGTAACAAAGTACTGGATTCTCCAGATAGCATTAAGTACGTCTACCAGCAGTTTATCAAGATATTAATGCTAATAAAACCTGAAATATTTACCCCTTTACTCACATCATTCAATATTTGTTTTCAATATTCACAGATTCTTTAAGAATATACCTCAAAAATACTTAAAACAATCTTTTTACTATTATATTTCTTTGGCACTCTGACGAGAGAGCATCAAATCGTTACGGCAACACATTTTTGTGTTGGTTTTATTCTCCCCGCATGCATCTTACAACATCATCAATGCAATTTATCTAACCACAAAAACACTTAAACACTATGTAAAACAATCTTGGAACACAGTAAAAAAATTCTCTTATTTTTTTTAAAACTGTTTCACATATTTCAAAAGAAAAATTGTTCCTAATTACCGTTGCATTAAAATACACTTATAACCACTCCTCAACAAATGTAGGTGGAGGCATTAGTCATGAACTTTCAATAGATTCACAATTACCCCCCTGATTATTTTACGGAAATAAAAGAAAAGCCTAGTTTTAAAATGTAGAACAATGTATATATATAGGTGATGGAACAGGTGGCAGTATCTGGCCGGGAGCCAGCGTCGGTTCAGACATCTTCTGATAGTACCGGAAAGCCTATCTTACAACTTATCTAATAATAGATATAGCCGTCTGATAATCCGGCGGCCCTCATTGAAGACGCTCATGTCTCTGCCACTAACTTCACTTGTTTCCTCATCTCATCTAAAAACATATCACTGGTACTGAACTATATTTCTACTAACACTGTAAACATGCGAATTGAATTGAATATTTTTATGCAGTGCCATGTGTTACTAGTGTGTCTTTCTTAAGTCCCTCTTGTGGTTGAGGGGTTGCCTATAGGGACTGAGGCATCAGAATTGCAGCCAGAATTATCCCTGCATAATCGTCACTTTAAATGGGTTCAAGTTATTGGATTCTATGCATCTCTTAGCTCCAGCAGGTGAAAGGGTTTTGACTCCTGGTGCATTGTTGCTTTAAGTT